TCCATTTTCAATGAACTAAAGCTTGTCATCAAGATAACCATAAGCTATAAGACTCACAAAGAGAACCAAACAAGAACCAAGAAACATGATGCAAGGATGCAATGGTTTGAACTCTCTACTAACGATACAATCAAGCTCCCAACTTGAGAGCGCCCCTTGATAGTACGGCAAACGATCCTATAACTCGGCCTCCCAACTACCATCATGAGACCGGTAAAACAGAAAAACTATCAAGGGCAAACCTTTGCCTTGCACATGGTCCACTTGAGCTAGATGATGACGATCTTGACTCCCTCAAGTTGGACCACCTTTCTTGATTGCGTTGGCTCGATGAAGACTAGATGATTGTTCCCCCATAGTTCATTATGGGTGGGCCAATCTTCGGCTCATCTTCGCAAGTCCACTGTCACCACAATGGACGGCAAGCTTCAAGCACTTGATCTCTTCGTGATGCATCACTTGAACTTGCACACCGCATCCTAACCCCACAAAGAACTCTCACGAAGACCATGGGTTAGTACACAAAGCGTAATTGACAATGCTTACCATACCATGGGATCACTTGACCCCTCTCGGTACATCTTCTACGCTTTGTGTGTTGATCAACTTGATTCACTCTTTGACTTAGTCTTGATCAACCTCTCACAAGACCAATCTTTTAGGCAATTCCTTGAATAGCACCTTGGTCGACACAAACTCTACTTGAAACCAACAAATGTACTCCAAGAAAAGTCTATGGAAAAAACCTTCAAATATAACTCAAGGCAACCATTAGTCCATAGAGATTGTCATCAATTACCAAAACCAAACATGGGGGCACCGCATGTTCTTTCAGATATGTAGTCCTTGTCTTAAACGTCAAGGCTTTCAAAGTCATCTTCTGGCGCGTCATGGGCCGGCCATGTGGCCCAGGACGGAACCGACCTAAGGGTCCTAAGCCCGACCCACCAGGCTGGGAATCGACTTGGTGAGAGACCCCTTGGCCAGGACACCGTTAATAGCCCCTGAACCAATCTGCATGCTTGGCTGCACCTCGGCCATATCTCGGCTGCACTTGTCTTCGGTCGTCGAGGTTGAAACCGGTTCAACAAAACTTTCCCAACAGTATCCACTCGTAGACGACCTCCATGTCAGACTACTTTCGAAGTGGCGCGCACTACCTCGATCTTGAGTTCCCTATGTAGATAGCCAGCCTCCGCGGAAGGATTTTCCGTGAAGTCAGCTCTTGCAGGACGATTTTTTGCAGGATACTTGAAAAAATGTTGATGAAGTAAGTCGGGTTTAGTGGAAGACCTTCCTGCTAAGCCGGCCTCCGCGGTCTGATATTCCCGTGAAGCACTTGTAAAGTTTAAAACCAATGCAATTTATTCTCTACCGAGTTATATAGCCAGTAGCTTTCAAGGTGTAGATTGGCACTAGATCTGATTTCCGCCGTATGTCCTTAGCATCATTCCACACTTTCACGTATCATAGCTCCCGAGCTGCAGGTTAGTTTGGCACAGTCTAGGCACATGTCGTCTTAATTTGGACTTTGCAGAAAAACTGTTGGTGCAGTAGCGCTTGAGACTCAGGTAAGGTACAATGGCCGACCTGTGGATCGAAATCCTCCTCTAGACTTGAACTAGTTTGAACCGGTGTGCAGTAGCCCCCGGGACTCAGGTCGGGCAGAATGGCTGACCTGAGGATCGAATCTCCTCGATTTGCTTACTACACTTAGACTATTTTACTGAAATGTCAATGCAGTAGCCCCTGAGACTTACGTTGGGCAACATGACCGACCTGAGGATCGAATCTCCTCGGTTTGCTTACTACACTTAGACTATTTTACTGAAATGTCAATGCAGTAGCCCCTGAGACTTACGTTGGGCAACATGACCGACCTGAGGATCGAATCTCCTGGGGAACTACCTCAGCCGAGTAGCGGTATTTCGGCACAAGTAGCCCCCAACTCGGTTTGGGGGGATCCGTGGATCAACCTTCTAGATGCCGGTCTAGAATATAATTTAGCTGACCAACGGCATCGGGCGAAAATCGCCCATACTCGGTTCTACAGGACCATCGATCAACCTTCGTCAGCAATATCTGAGCTGGACAATTCAACATACTATCATATTCCCAAAGATGTACAAAACCTGTTTGCGCATGACGCAAACTAGCTCATAGGCAATCTGATTGTTCTCTTTTACTCCCTCCATTCTAGACTATAAGGTGCATCAGTTTTCGTGCAAGTCAATCTTATGTATGTTTGACAACCCACGATGTGACCTTGGTGGTTAGATCTGATGACGGTGACGACGATGCTTGAACGCAGTTTCCCTCCTTGGAAGCATCGTTTTTGAAGAACTTTTGTCTTAGTCCTTGTGTTGTCAAGCAATGTTTGGCGCCAATGGTCACTGTTGTATATCTTCGATCAATGTTTTCCATTCCTTCGGGTTTTTCTTTTCTCTTTCCGCCTAGGCATAGTTTTGGTACTGTTGTATATCTTCGATCAATGTTTTCCATTCCTTCGGGTTTTTCTTTTCTCTTTCCGCCTAGGCATAGTTTTGGTCTTGCATGACGTTGCTCATTATCGGCGTGGTCGCATGCGCGCGTGTGTTGGTTGTGTGGTTATGAAGACACTGGATGTATACTTGATTTGTATCTCTTAGTGTTGGATGTATACTTGATTTGTATCTCCAGTGCTGGATGTATACTTGATTTGTATCTCTCAATGCTACATTATGTTACGAGTCAATAAAAGCATCCTTTATCAGAAAATGTATAAAAGTACTTTTTACGATGAATCTAATGTATTGTAGATATTGATACTTTTTTCTAGAACTTGGTCATTATTTTGGAACTGGGAAGTAGCTTCTCTAGCTTCTATGGATTGCAAGGCTTTGGAATTCATGTTGTATCTGCATCTAACCTCAGCCTGAAATACAATTTGACGCCCGGAGCGCACCTCCACCTCGTTAATAAATACGGGTTTCTTTTACTCCGCCTAAAAGATTGGCGAGTGCTAGGCACCGGCGCACCGGCCCAAATTTAAGCACACATGAAGAAAACAGAAAAGAAGGCACTCGTGCGCACATGCCGGATCTCGCACGCTCGCCGGGCACCCGCGCGCTTGCCGTCAGGCGGCAGCCCGCGCTTGTCGTCGGCTTCCCATGCTTTCTTGCCACCTGTGCCACCACGCCGGCCGCCCGTGCTAGCCGGCCGCTCGTGCCTCCGCTCGCCATGGCCGCCTTCGCTAGCCATGGCTGCAGCCTGCAGATCGAACATGGACGGGTTCCAGCGTGCGGTCACCATGATTTGCAGCATCCTCGATGTTCCCTCATCTCCGGCTCGCCGCCGTTATCGACTTGTCCACCATGTCCAGCAAAACTAATATAAAACAACAACAAAGTCTGTGGTGCTCGATTGAAGCATAATAAAAAGTCGGTTCCAGCACAATTAGATGATGGTTCCAAGAAAAAAGCTCAGCAGCACAAAACCATGGCTAGCCAACGCTCGCCCCTCAACGGTGCTACCTCCCCTCGCCCCTGCAGATTCAATGGCGACGACGCCATGGCTCGCAGCCAACAGCGGTAGTAGCAAATTTTTGTGCTAGTTCCAGCAAAACCAAAAACAGTGGAAGCAAAAATCGCAAATTGGGCGATGTTCTAGCAAAAATCGAAACACCGGCGAAAGCAAAAAATTAAAGCTGGTTCCAGCAAACCAAAACGCCATTTGAAGCAAAAATGCAAAATTGGGCGTTCTTTCCAGCAAAGCAAAAGCGGCAGTTGTAGCAAAAATTGGGGCTGGCTCCAGCAAACCAAAACACCGGTTGTAGCAAATTGCAAAATTTGGCGTCGGTACCAGCAAAACCAAAACGCCTCATGGTAGCAAAAATCGGGGTTGTCTCCAGCAAACCAAAACACTGGTTGTAGCAAAATACAAAATTTGGCGTCGGTACCAGCAAAACCAAAACGTCGATGGTAGCAAAAATTTGTGCTGGTTCCAGCAAACCAAAAAACGGTGGTAGCAAAAATGTAAAATTTGGGCAAAACCAAAAACATTGCTGGTAGCAAAAACTAGGCGCTCGTCCCAGCATCTGGTTGCCGCACCTGAGACACTCACCGGTCGTGGTCACCCACCGTCACAGGTCGCAGCAAACACCGGTTCACAGCACTGTGTGGTTGCACATCAACACATGTGTGGGCTCAATCTTGTGTGGTTCGTGGAGGATTACAGCAGGAAGGAGAGAAAGCAACACGAAGAAGCTCGAGCTCGAGGTATCCATGGTGGTTTGCTGAAGGGAGTGGAGAACCAACTCGTTGGAATTATGGGGACGAAGAAGTGGTTTGCTGAGGGCAGTGGAGAAGCAATTGTTGGACTTGTGGGGGCGAAGAATGAAGGGGCGACGGCCGTGGAGCACGGCGAGCGAGCAGAAGGCAGGTGTCCATGGCTCTCCAGAAAAAATCAGGAAGGTGTGGCCAGGAGTTGTCCACGGGTGTGTTTGGATGAGGAGAAAAGGTCTGCATAGAGGAAAAAGGAGGGCGGTGCGTGGGACCGGCTGTAAGCGTCGCGCGGTATGAAGCAAGCGCTGCATGCGAGAGGCAAGGCCGGTGCGCTGTTTTCAAACATTTCCCTAAAAGATTTGTCTGAAGTCCAAACTTTGCAAATGTTGATGTTTATTGTGAATGTTAATATATGTTTTGTATAAACTTTTTAGTGTTTGACTCAAGACAAACCTAATATGGAGGGAGTAAATAAATAAATAAACAGGTTCACAACACAGCCACGGCAGAAACTCGTACGCAGGTACTGCTACGTGGTAAGAAAAAAAGACCATAGGCAGGCAGATTGCGTAGCTAATTCAACGAGTTCGAGTATCAAACATTACACGTAGTTAATTATGCTACCACATGCGTATCTTAAAAACTTTGTTAACCATGGAACGACATAAGTTCAGAATACAAGTCCAGCAACGTGCAGTTACACGCTTCCACAGACTCAAGCGGAGAAAGCTCGGGTCCTCACTTCCACAGCTTCCGCAAGGACATGTTCTTCTCATTGTCCTTCTTCATCACCTTGGCCACCGCCATCTCGAAGTCCTCCTGTGTTACGTGCACCCTTCTCTCGCGGAGAGCAAACATTCCGGCTTCGGTGCAGACCGCCTGAATAACAAAGGACAGAAACCAGAGTGAACAACTTCATATGAAAGGAGCAGGGATGTTGTGCACATGATGGTGTTGTCAGCCGTGAACAAGGAAATGCAAAAAATGTAAAGTGTTTTCAAGCAGAAGAGCGCGGAAAGTCTTACCATACTACTTCTGCATATATATACAAAAATGTTGCTAACCAGATAATGCGGCGAGATATTTAAACAGACCATTCTGCTTGTTTTTTCAGAAACCAAATTCGAACTCAACAAACAGCTAACAACATACAGTTAACCAACTATTCAGGCCCTCGGAACCATAATTAAAACTAATCTGGTGTTAGGTTAATAAGAGCAGAGCTACATAGAAGAACTAGGAACGGTCCTCGGAAGGGATCATTCATGAACAGGTTCCAAAAATGGATCAGCAGGAGAAGACTATAAAGTGAGCATGCTTCTCAGCAATCAAAGCTCAAGTGCATGGTGCAATATTCATTTTTTGGAAGAGATTAAAAATTGTTAGATTATATTTTTTTGGTTATATAAGCAACGGCACTAAACAGACCCAAATTGAGAAAACTGAAACATGACGTAGCATATAATGACCAGAGATTTATGTAGAGACTAAACCAACCTTTAGCTCAGCTCCTGAAGCGCCATTCATCTTTCCCGCAATCTTTTTCAGATCAATACCACGCATCAAGTTCATCCTTCTTGAATGAATCTTCAAGATATCACCTCGTGACTGAAGGGCAAAAGATTAAGCACATTGTCAGCCCAAATAAAATCATGCAGAATCATCAAGCATTATGTGTTAAAGTATGAGGCACATACATCCTCATTAGGATTTGGAAATTCAATCTTCCTGTCTATGCGGCCAGGCCTCAAAAGGGCTTGATCCAAGATGTCTATCCGGTTTGTTGCCATCAGAACCTGCACAGAACACATACAGGGCATCATGATAGTGTTGCTCCATATATAATTAAGACACAGAAACAACAATTATTAAGTACAGCATACCTTAATTTTGTTTGATGCTTCAAAACCATCAAGTTGGTTTAGAAGCTCAAGCATGGTCCGTTGCACTTCACTATCACCATTGCCAGTTCCAGACTCCATTCTAGCAGATCCAATGGAGTCTATTTCATCCATGAATATAATAGACGGTGCATGCTCCCTGCAATAATTTAACCAAACAATTAGCCCATCAACAGAGGATGCACGTGGAACATATTTCATATCAAAGGCAAATAATTCTAGCTGTTAACCTTTTACTTAGCTTACCTAGCCATAACAAAGAGTTCACGAACCATCCGGGAGCCCTCACCAATATACTTCTGAACCAACTCAGAACCAGATACCCTGATGAAGGTACAGTCGGTGTGATGAGCAACTGCACGTGCCAGTAATGTTTTGCCTGTCCCTGGTGGTCCATAAAGGAGAACACCCTGCAAAAGAAGAGTGTAAAATATTCTGCTAGGTATATCAATGAATGAACTAATTAAGACATTATTCTAAATAATCAAACCTTTGGCTGGGCAATTCCAAGGCTCTCAAATAACTCAGGATGTTTGATAGGAAGCTCGATGACCTGAAAATGGAGTTCATGAGTCGGATGTCAAACATGATACAATGACAACGCATCGAAATTCTAAACATACCTCTTTGATCTCCTTGATTTGCTGATCAAGACCTCCAATCATATCATATGTAGAATCTGGGACCTTCTCAACTTTCATAAGATTGACCAGTGGATCAACTTTGCTTGGAAGGACCAAATGAAGCATATAGCTATCATTCCGAAGAGCAACTCTTGTTGAAGGTGTGATTTTTGTGATATCGATGCTCTTATCAATATCTACTACATATTTGCCTTCTGGATGCACCTGAACAATTACATCTGAAAAGTTAGCGACAACTTCGATGGCGAAAATATTATAACTCAGAGCAGACGGCCAGACCAATAAACCCAATAGAGCGGCAAAAAACATGAATAGAGCACAATCACCAAGACAATAAAAAAAATCTCCAGCAGACTAACAGCCAAAAGCTAATAAAGGAAGCAGCCTATCACTGTTCCTCACGGTGTATGTGTGATGTTTGAGTTCATTTGAAAAAATTTAATAAGTCATAAGCCCAACTAATAAAGAGCACTGATGAGATCTTACACCTTGTACCTTTGTCATACAGATAAAGTACAATAGTACTAGGCAATGTGTAAAGGAAGAAATATTATTTTTTTTGCGAGTAAAGGAAGAAATAATTTACCTTAACAAGAACCTTTGATTTTCCCATGACCTTCACCACCTCACCAACATAAGAGCCAGGCTCCTGGAGTAACTGTAGCTCTTCCCTAAGCATTCTAACTGCAGCATAAAAAAAATTGAGCCAATTTAGAGGAAGCACTTGATGAATAGCTCATGCAAAGAAGCGTCAGTCCTTGAACCAAGATAGGAAGAGTAACTTGAATCCTTAATAGTATTCCTATGCTGCTATACATCGTCATGGAAATAAAAAATAGGACAACAGAAAGATAGTTTAATCAATTGCACAGTCCAGTTGTTCAAGAAAAGTCATGTTTTGGATCATTGATACCAAGAGTATGTATGCTTGAGAGTAACAAAAAACACAAATTTCTCACAGAAAAAACAATATTGAACAAATTGATAAAATTGGTAGAATCTAGCTATTGAAAAATAGTCATGTTTTGGATTGTTGGTACCAAGAGTATGAATTAGAGTAACAAAAACACAAATTTCTCACCCCAAAAAAAAAAGCAATATTGAATAAATGGATAGAATTGGGAGAATCTAGCTATTGAAGAGAAAGATTTAAGGCAAGAGATAAACAGTGTTCTGTTCCTCGCAATCTTTGTGGTTCATGCAAACCAAATATCATTGCAGAAATACGGGAAACCACTAGTAATCGACACGCAGTCAGCCCAGAGGGAGTACGCCAAGAATATGAGCAATTCGCTGCATGTTTTTGTATCAAAACAAAATCACAGAAACTAGAAAATAACAGGGCATAGATTATTATTAACGAAAGGTGAATTTTTTTTGAGAAGTTCTACATATCGGCACAGCCAATCACCGGTTGCCCAGTGACTAGACTAAATATTGCACATTTTGCTAAGATTATGCGTACGGAGCAAGCTAGGGTTCGACTAGCGCGATTCAATGGTTCACGAAAAAGTCTCTGTCGCTAGGGTTTGGGGGCGGCGCTAGGTGAAGAATAGAGTAAGGTCACCTCGGGAGTTGAGGTCGTTGCGCTGGGCCTCGAGGCGATTGAGGTTGTGCGTCTTCTGGCGGATCTGGAGCTGCAGGTCGTGGATGTGCTGCAGGTAGTACTGGCGCAGCCCCTCGCCTCCGCCACGCGCGCCCTTGGCCGACTCGTCGCCGGACGCGGCCGGCGGGGGCTTCGAGATGTCCATCGCCACCGTCGCCATGGAGCTGGGCTGGGGTTTGGTTTGGTTTCTTCTGCTTGCGGTCGACGAAAGCTTTATTCCTCGGCCTCTTTCTTCTTGCGGCGGAAGAAGAAAGCTTTTTTTTTCTCGGCCCGGAAGCGGAGTGGGTTGTTTGGGACTTTGGGCTGGGTCTGGTGCCGCTGGCTCGCTATGTTTCCTTTCTTTATAGTCGGTTCCTGCGAGGATGTGAGGCCGAGTCGGTGAAGTGTGTGGACTATAGACAACGGAGCCGAGTCCGTGACGGACAGTCACTGATTCAGTACACGCGGTAAAATCAAAATGAGTCAAATACGTGATAAGTCCTGAAACTATGAAACTATTGAAGGTGTGCCAATCTACCTATAAACCTATCTATCTATATCTATATCTATAGGGAAACGTTTGGAGACGGCGCACCGGCCGAACGCTTCGGCCGGTCTCGTCCACACACGCAGCGCTAGGCCCACCACGTTATCCTTCCCCCCATCCCCACGTCCTTCTCCTTCCCTTTCCTAGTACTTTTTCCCCATGTCCCCGGCTATCATGGAAGTCCAAACCTGCGATCTCCTCCAGCGAGCCCTCCTTTCTTCTCCGGCGAGCACCCCCGAAGCCGACCCCCACCCCCCCTCCTCCGCCCCCGAGCTAGTGTCCTCCTCTCTCTCAACTGCATCTCGTAAGCCATGGTCGTGCTCGTCGGGGGCCAAGCACCGGCGCTACTACGACAGGGGAGGCATCACCTGCGAGCTCACAGGCAGGGCAGCCATGGCACACGAGCTCGAGGTGGACGTCGAGCTGAGAGCACAATGGGGACACCCTTGATGTTGTGACCGGCATTCTGGAAAGCTACAACCGATGCGGCGAAAAGCTTCAGCCAGTGGCGACAGATGCTGGAACCAACCATTGCCACAACAAAAGGCTACATCCGGTATCGCATAAAGCTTCAACCGGCGTTGGAAAAAGCTTCAAACATTGAACGCCGATGCTAGGGGCTGGCTACTGCCAACAGGGAAAAGCTTCAAGGTGTCGCAAAAAGCTTCAACCGTAGATAATAAAGATTCAACCGTAGTTGATTTTTGCTACCACCAGCAAAGTTTTTTGCTACATCCATCAAGGCGGGAGCTGCGACCTCGTGACGGCGATGACGATTTTGCTGCAACCATAGTAGGATTTTGCTACTACCGCCGAAGGTTTTGCTACGTCCATCTAGGCGGAGCTGCAACCTCGCGACGACAGCGAGAAGATTTTTGCTGCAACCGTAGCTTAATTTTGCTACTACCAGTGAAGTTTTTGCTACATCCATTCAAACGGCGTTGATTGACTGGCAGCTGTCGTCGACGCAATTCCTTGCAGCGAGCATCAACGGCGAGCGGCGGTGACGGAGCTACAACCGGGAGCAACAACCGGCGCCGTCGAGAGCTGCAACCGCAGGTGTGGCTGTTGCATGGGTCTAGGGGACGACGAGGACGACCGGCGAGGATGGGGACCGGCGACGAGGGGTTGGAAAAGGGATGGGGACCGGTGATGAGGAAGACCGACGGAGGCCGGCGACGAGGACGGCCACCGGAGGGGACAAGAGGCGCGGCGCCGCGCTCCTTGAGCGAGGCATGTGGATCCAGCCCGAGTGCTCGAGGAAGAAGAAGCCGGGGCGATTCATTTTTTTTTACCTGGATCCAACGACCCGCGCGGCTCACATCCAACGGCCTGGGCTAGACCGGCCGAAACTTTCGGCCGGCGCACCGGCGCCTATCAGCGCCCATATCTATATCTATATCTATATCTATATCTATATCTATATCTATACCTACTATTAAAGGAAGTAGGTATTCTTGGTTTAGTTTCGCTTTATTTCGTCCCGTTTAGGTGATTTTTTTCTTTTTGGTTTCGTCCCACTTCGAAGATTTTTATTATCCGAGGTGGTATTATTTTTTCGTCCACAGGCGCTTTTTGCAAACTAGCGCCTGCAGCGCACTTCCTCTGTCGCGAGATGGGCCGGCCCATGATAGCGTTTTGCTTTATATATCTTTATAAGTGCAAAAAGAACGGTGTGCAGGGAGGAAACGAACCGGAGATTATGCATGTTAAATATTTGCGTTCTTTTTATTCTTTCTCCGGTTCGCATTTACTTTTAATTTCTGTTTTCTTCTTTTATCTTTTACTTTCCTATTTTATTTCTTTTTCTTAAATGCAAGATTGTTAATCGATGAACTTTTTCTTCAAAATGAATGAATTTTTTTTTCAAAAATCCATGAACTTTTTTTCAAATCGATGAACTTTTCTCAAAATTTATGAACTTTTTTAAACATTCAATGAACTTTTTTCAAAACTCCATGAACTTATTTTTCAAATTCGACTATTTTTTTTAAATTCAATGAAATTTTTCTAAAATCGATGAACTATCGATGAACTTTTTTCAATACATGAACATTTTTCAAATTTGATGAACTGTTTTTCAAGTTGCTGAACTTTTCTTGAAAATTGACGAACTGGGTTGAACGATCGCTTGGCTGGCCCAGTGTATGCGATCGAAGGCCGTCCAAGCAAAACACAAATACGGGCATCCATCAATTTATGGGCTGCGAGTGGGCTCCTGAAAATCAAGTAAAAATGAGTGGGCTTCGTAATATCAAGTGAAATATAGTTTACATTTACAAAGTGGAGAATAGAATACAACACCTCTATTTCAAAAGAACCCGCGGTAACCAACTCAGCTGACTTCTATTTGTGATTAATCCCACTTCGAGGGTTTATATTGAATCGCCCCGATATACGTTCCCTAATTGCTTGCAAGAGACTATAAAATGAATTGACCCTGAGATTGTGTGGCTGCCATGCAAAAAAAGAGAAATATTCCGGGGCATGAATTGCCGGCGAGGAGTCCCCTTGATTAAAGGAAGGGATCATGATGGAGCTGGATTTATGTGTTCTTTAAAGGATGCGGGATTTGTGGGCTGCTAATGCATCCATAATTAACGGTTAACAGTTGCACAAATAAGGAAGGGTTGTTGCAAGCCGACCCCTGTTATTAGGAAGAAAAGGAAGGAATTAAAAAAAGAAATATGAAGTACGAATTATTTCGGGCAGTGTGAATGTCAAGTTAACAATTATTATTTGTAGCCAATGGGAACCTTCTGGGTATAGGCTTGCCACGTGGCGCCTCCTGATTGGACAACACTTGACGGCGGCATAGGCTTGCCACATGGCGCCTCCTGGTTGGGCAGCAATTGACGGCGGCGCTGACAGCCACCGTTAGGCTAGGAACATTGCCGACGGCCCGGGCCGTCGGCATAAATGTACGGACACCGTCGGGATATCATCTATGTCAACGGCCTTTCTATGCCAACGACCTTTCTATGCCAACGGCCTCCGGGGGTACGCCGATGCATATGTTTCCGACGGCCCTATGCCGACGGGGGCCGTCGGCATAGGCCCGTCCCGACGGGAATCAGGGCTATGCCGACGGCCTGGGCCGTCGGCATGGGGGTTGATTCCGGTAGTGCAACGCTTTGCATGTTTTTTAAGACTTCATAAAAAATCAAGAAAAAATTTGTGAAAGGATCGATATGGTTGACTAGAGGGGGGGTGAATAGGCAACTATCAATTTTTAAGCTTTTCTTTACCAAATTAAACTTTGCAACAAATTAGGTTGTCTAGATGTGCAACTAGGTGAGCAACCTATATGATGCAATAACAACTAGCACACAAGCAAGCAAGGATGTAGCAACAAGTAGGCTTGCAAAGGTAAAGGCACGAAATAACCAAGAGTGGAGCCGGTGGAGACGAGGATGTGTTACCGGAGTTCCTTCCTTTTAAAGGGAAGTACGTCTCCGTTAGAACGGTGTGGAGGCACAATGCACCCCAAGAAGCCACTAGGGCCACCGTATTCTCCTCAAGCCCTCACACAATGCGAGATGCTGTG